ATAAGATTCAGAACTTCTGTTCCCTGTTGGACTAGCCATCTTGTGATGGGCACTACAGCCTAAAAGCTATAGATCTCATCTAAAAGGGCATTTAAGAATTTAAAGTGTGAAAACGGCGCAGTTGTAAACTCTAGCTGGGGCGGCTTCATTTGGCTGGTCTGCGTTGCTTACTGGGCAGATAGCAATTACAGGGTTCGAACAGCTTCTCTTATTTACTCTCTACCAGGCTAGCATTTGGGATTCCTCACTCAGTTCCTATTTCCTTTAGTTATTATGATTTTTCTTTATGTATTATTATTATTTACTTTTTCAAAAGCAAATCAGACATTTTTATTTGGAAAGGAAAACTATTTTAACCGTTAGCACAGTCACCTTTTTGTCCTCAGGGAATTGCGTGGACTCAGTGAGCTACATCACTTTATTTTCCCTCATTTGCCTCTCCCTTCCTCTTATGAAATCTGGTGTGTGGGCGCTGACGACATTTTTAGCCGTTGGAAAATCTCATGATGCCCGGATCACTATATATGAAATTAGCATCCGAAAAAGAAGTCCTCGCTCAGTAGTAGTGATGGGGAGCATTTCTTTCTTTCTTTTCTTTTTGACTCACACCTGCTATTGCCAGTTTTTAAATTGACTTCTTGATCATCATGTCCCATAGGGAGTCCATGAAGAGACAGGAGACGACTGTTGAGCTCCTGCCTGTTGGTGTACAGTGTAGTTTGACATGAAACTATGATTAAATTGTCAGTCTTAGGACCGACCTGCTCTCGGTGTGCTGAAGGAAGGAATGTGGTTCTGTGGGCGCTGAATTCCAGACTGCATGCCGCGTGTCCACAGGCTGGCTCTTCCCAGGAGAGGGCAGTGAGCCAGTGATGCTACTTGCTTTCTGGCACATCACTCGACCTTCAGGATGGCTGCAGGCGGGATGTATACCTCCAATCCTGCCAAATCTGGCTGGGCATCACCCTCCCCAGCTACCCTCCCTGTCCGATCTTTTGGGGGAAACAGCTGGGGCTTTGTTGGAGAAAAGTGGGGCATTGGGGGAAGAAGTCCCGGCTTTGGGTCTGGCTCTGGGAGAGAGAGAAGTCAGTGAGCGGTCAACGTAGGTCCATGCCGGGCCCTTCTCCCGGATGTCTTCCTCAGCAGGCTGCTCTCTCTAGGCTGGGCGTGGGGGCCACCAGCCTGCCCCGAATGAGGCAGTGCCAACCATCCTGTGTCAGAAAGTGGCCGTTCCAGAAGGATTGGGGGTTGAGTGGAATTTGCGTTTCTTGGTCATTTGGCTGAAGATGGTGCTTTATTGGCAAAGAACACTGTTTTATATAAATATATGTGCAGGTGTCACGCCTTCAATCTGTGCTCCTCAGACCCTCAGACCAAGGGTTCTTCATTTCTTTTGTGTCGAGGATCCCTTTGTGCCCAATGGTAGGAGCCCAGGGCCCTTCCTCCGAGTTCTGTACTGAAACCCATGCAATAAAATGCAGAGGTTTGCCGGGAGCCTGGCCTCCTGTACAGCGGCAGGCCTAACAGCTGTTCCAGCTGTGAATGCTGATGAGTGCAAGTACCTTGAGAGGCCGTGACAAGTGTAATGTGAACTGAAAGCCTCTGTTATTTGTATCCATGAGGAAGCCACAGGTACTGCTCCTAATTATCATTTCCATGGTTTGTTGCCAATATGCATAATCGGGGGAAATGCTAGACTTCAGCTCGAGGACAGTGAGGATAAATGTTATGTTCTTTCCCATCAAGGTCACGGACCTGCTGGGTTCTGTTCCTGCCTCTGTTTCTACTGTGTCAGCAGGGGGGCTTGGTGTCCAAACTAAACACTGCCGGCAGCCACCGAATTTCATCTGAGACTGTTTGTTACTGGCATGTCGGGTTCTTGTTGTCCCCCAGGATGGAAATCAAGAGAGACCACAAATGGGAGTAGAAAGTAAAAGTTTCTTAGCTTGTGCACAAGGGAGGTACAAGGAAGCCGGTGTGGAAAGGAAAGGGGCAGGTGACCAGCTTGTCAGGGAGCAGGACTGGGGGGCTTTCATTAGGCAGAGGCTGGGGAGACGGGCCTTGTCATGGCCTGTGGAGGTGGGGTTTTTCTTGGGCTTGTGCTGTCATGTAGCATGTCACCACGTGTGTTGCACACCCCTGGGTGTGATTTTTACTGTGCTAGTGGAGGTAGGGTCACCTTCAGTGGACTCCTGGGTGCCAGGGTGCATGCGGGAGCCTGGAAAAGTCCTGAGGCTGCGGGATGTGATCTTGGTGGTCTCTATCTGATGCTCCTAGCTTGCTGATTGGTTAGGGGCCTTATCTTGTTAGGCCAGGGCCCCTGTCTCCTTAGGCTGGTTCCTGTCTCCAGGTCAAAGGTAAACAGGTAAAAGCAGAGACAGCCTGGCTGGAGCTGCTGGTGGGGGTGAGTTAGGGGTCTGAGTGGGCTGGGCGGGGTCGAGGGCAGGATATTACAGATGAACTTTCGTGTCGCCTGCAGGAGCGAGTTGCTAACCTGGTGGTCGTGTTGGGTGAGCACGGAGAGACTGAAGAACTTTTAACTTACCTTCTCGTCACTGGTGTGGGGATCTGTGCCTTTGCGTCTAGGACAGAGGAGTGATGGCACACCCTCCGCCAGTCCTCCCTCGAGCTTCCCTGCGTCCTTCAGGGAGAAAATGTGGCCCCAGGGGCACTGTGAGCTGGGAGTGCTGGGGAGGGGCCAAGTGATTACCCTGGACGCTGCTCTGAGCCCTGCCAGCATGGGAGGGGTGTTCCCGGTGTCCCTATGTTGTCATAGGTGTTGCACAGCCAGATGGGTGGGTGCCACACCCTACAAAGAAACGCAGACTCCAGACCTGGCTCTTCAGGATTCCAGTTAGGGAGAGAAACCGGCAAGGATGTTCTAAAAATAGAGTTAACTCTGCAAGGCGGGGGGCGACGGGCAGATCCCAGGGAGCTTGGGTGCAGGCCGTTCTTGCTCTGCACAATCGCCACCCAGGGGGTGGAACTGGATGGCAGTGGCAGGAGGGCGTGACTAACCCTGGGTCTAGCACAGCTTCGGGAGGGGGCCCCATTCTGAATTATGAATTGCCCTTTATGGGGTCAATGAACCACCTCTCCCCAGTGAATGAGGAGATAAGAAACCCAGGGACACAAACACAGGTCAAAAGTGGCCCCTGGAGACCCACCTCAATGCAAGGGGCCGCCGGCCGTGCTCTCAGCTGTGATCTGTGCTGTTCAGACATTAGCTGTTCTAATGGTTTAACGTGGGGGAGTAGAAATACTCAAGCAGGAGGAACTCCCAGTTCGGGGGTTTGACACATCCAGGCTTCTCCTGCCTCCCTCCCTTCCTCCTGTGTCTCTCACCCCTCCTTCCCCTGTTCCGCCCTCTGTCCTCTCACCTCTCCCCTCCTCCCGCTCTCCCTCCCCCTCCATCTTCCGCTCAGTCTGCCGTTCAGGGTAAAGGTGGGGAGTTGAGACGCCCAGTGCAGGGTATAAATTAACCACTTTGCAAATCAGACCAAATTGTTACAGAACAAGCCAAGAAACCTTACATAAGAGAAAAACTGTTTTTTTAAACAAACGGAGGGGATGACTTCTGACTTCACTTGCTCAACACATTTATTGGCATCGAGTACCAGGGGCAGGTCAAACCACGCTGCCCAGCCTTCCCGGCTGGTAGAGAGACAAATATTTATTAACCTCGTAACCAAGATGTGGCTTTGCGATTGTGTGAAGTATGGGAGCTGATCTTAGGGGGAGCGCGAGTGCGGGAGGGGTGGGAGACGGAATCTGGAAGGGGTCAGGGACCCTCTGGGAAGTGACAGCAGAAGGCCTGGGGCGATGCCCTGCCCGTGCCCACCCTGTCCCCAAAGGCTGCGTGAGAAGGAGCTGAGCCCAAGGGCGACTTATGCACAGCGCCACCTGAGTTCTCGCTGTGACTGGCTGAAACTTTGAAGACACCCATTTCCTCTAGAAACAAAGAAAACCTCCCTCTTGTGTGTGTGTGTCTGTTTCCTTGGCACCCTGCTCTGGAAAGCTGCCCTCCGGCTCTGAGGGTGGGAGCAGCCTTGGGCTGGGGTTCTGGGGACCGTCTCCAGGTGTCTGGGTCCTTCTGGAACTTTCTTCTGTGGGTTTGCTCTCCCTCCCCTGGGGCTGCCACCTGAGGCCTTTGGGGGTCCTTTGCATCCCTAGTCGGGCCGTGAGCAGGTAAGGAAGGGAAGCAGGGGAGGAGGGTGAGCCTGAGGCATGAGGTGTCCTGTCTGAGCTCGCCCAGCCAGCTGGCCACGACAGGACAGGGACCAGGACGGAGGCCAGCCCTCTGGCGCTGGGATTTCCAAATCTCTGCGGTATTGTCTGCCGCTGGGTGAAAGTGGAGGTGCCTTGTTTTCCGTGGTTTGTTCCAAAAGAGATTCCTTAGTGTGCGCCCTTGTGTGTTCTCCGTCCGTCTTTCCTCGCTTCTCAGCTCCTCCCAGCAGTCTGGCCCCACCCCCGCCGGGGCCCTCGGTGCCTCTGGGGGGCCCGAGGCAAGAGGACCAACCTGGATGGGCGCCCAGTCCTGGGGCAGCCTTGAGGTGGCACAGAACCTCGGGCACTGGAAACCATATGCCCGTGTGAAGGGCGGGTTTGCTCAGTGCTGCACCAGAACGACTGATGCTGAGATGTGGCACAGACCATGTCATCGAGAATTGAGACCCCTGGTGGCAGCATTTTATTTAAACATCTTTTAAAATGCACTAGTAGGAAGAGGCCATACCACCTTTCATGAGAAGGAAGGCGGGGCCCGGGGCCGGGGTGGGGTGGGGGGGAGGAGGGGGTGATGTGCCTGCAGACTCCCGGAGGAGGAGGAAGCCATTGCATTTAGATCCCATGGGGCCTGGACTTTCTGCACGCCAGTGTCTTGCTCCAGTCTAGCCACACCTACATTTGGGATCACGGTTGCAGCATCCCTCTCCTGTGGCGTGGTGGGTGGGTGCATCCCCAGGGGAGAGATAACCAGTGTCTTATCCTCTCCCCGCCAGGGCGCGAGCAGTTCCATGGCCTGGGCTCCATGTACTGCCGGGGGGCGGCCGCCGTCATCCTCACCTACGATGTGAACCACCTGCAGAGCCTGGTGGAGCTGGAGGAGCGGTTCCTGGGCCTGACGGACACGGCCAATGCCGACTGCCTCTTCGCCATTGTGGGGAACAAGGTGGACCTCAGGGAGGAGGGGGCTGCGGAGAGCCAGGAGGAGGACGGACACAGCCCCGGGATGGCCAGCGGCGGCTGCGCATCGCTGAAGGTGCCCAAGCAGGTGCGGCCGGAGGACGCCGTGGCGCTTTATAAAAAGATCCTGAAGTACAAGATGCTGGATGAGAAGGACGCGCCGGCCGCTGAGCAGATGTGCTTCGAGACCAGCGCCAAAACTGGGCACAACGTGGACCTGCTGTTTGAAACCTTGTTTGAGATGGTGGTGCCCATGATCCTGAGGCAGAGATCCCAGGGGCCAGCGCAGACTGTCGACATCACCAGTTACAAGCCACCCGGACGGACCAAGGCTGGGTGCTGTGCCTGACTCATGGGGCCCCCAACCCCAGTTTACATGATTGGCAGGTGTGTGGCCACCGAGCTGTAGTCAGAAGGGGCACAGAAAGTCAACGAGTTACTTTGTGACGGCGCCTGGAGGAGACCCGAGCGGAAAGAGCAGCTGGTTATGAGGAGAAGGTCAATGTGCACAGTTGCCTGCGTCTCCATCGCTGCCTGGGGAGGTGGGGAGCAAATGAATCATCTACAGAAAGCGCTCTGCTGAGCCGAGGCTGCTGGAGGCCTGTGCCCTCGCGGCTCCCTTCCTGACTGCCTGGCTCCGACCGGAGCCGTTGCCTGGCCGTGTGCACCTATCGGCACCTGCACATCTTCCCGCTTCTTGTGCTCAGATGTCCCACTTCACTGTGATTTATCTTTGGTCCCTGTATCTTGAGGCATCATAATGATTCTCGATGTGAATTTATATGAAATCAGGAATCACCTTTTTTATATTGGTTGCAGCAGCGTGAGCGACACATATTATTAAAGAGGATTTGAGAAGGACCTTGGTGTGGGACTCCACTGGTGTAGACTTGATTTGGGGCCCCGTGGACTCCTGGCTGGGGAACCTTGGGAGATGGCTGTGCGTGTGAGGTACTTCTCCCTGTCTTTAAAAGCTACAGTGAGTCCTTCTAAATTCCAGAATATTCAGATTGGCCCATCTGCCTAGTTGTCTTAATGGCATGAGTTCCAATAATAGAAGCGAGACTAACAGCTCTGTTTTTAGGTCTGTTTGGGTCCCCTGGCAGTTGCTGAATCAGCAGCCCCCTTTCTGGTAGCTGTGGGTGGGCTGCTTTGTTATTAGAAGATGCTGATACAGGGAGGCTGTGAGACAACAGTTCTTGTTTTCTTAGAGGATTAACTGAGAGCAAGTGGGCCAGCCTCGGGCTCTTTGTGGGGAGGGGGCCTCAGCAGCTGGGGCTGCTCTGACAGCACACGGATGGGTGGCTTCAGCGGCCGACATCTATTTCTCACAGTTCTGGAGGCAGGAATCCAAGATCGGGGCTCCAGCCGATGCAGTTTCTGGTGAGGACACCCTTCCGTGCTTGTGGGCGGCCACTTTCCCACCGTGTCCGCATGTGGTGGAGACAGAGTGAGCTCTGGTCTCTCTTTCCTCATAAGGGGGCTAATCCCATTACAAAGACCCCCCCCCCCACCCCCGGCCCCATGATCTCCCAAAGACCCCACCTCCACATACCATCACACTGGGGGTTAGAGCTCCAACATGTGGGTTTTGGGGGGAACACAAGCATTCAGTCCATAACAGAAAGCAAAGGGAGACAGAAGGCCGGTGAGAAAACAATGTTTTGTGAGGAGTTTTTTGGTGGGGTGGTCGGTTATCTGGCTGGATGGCCCTGAGCTCTATTCTGGGCCCCTGCAGGCCCGCCTCTGCCCGTGCGGGGCGCCTTCTCCGGGAGAGTGAACGCACCCGGCCTGCAGGATGAAGCTGGCACAGCCCCCTGTGTGACAGGGCACCTCAGTTAAGGTGTCCAGTTCCCAAGGCCCCTCTTGAGGGCTCACACTTCAATTTCACAACCGTAGCCCACTGAAAAGTGAAAACAGGTCACTTTGGTTAGTTTTCATCAATTTGGTTTAATTTGCCATTGGACAGGCAGGGGGTGTATTTATCTTCACTAACGTGCGTCTTTGCTGGTGACACAGCTAGGAAATATGCCACCACCCAGAGGCCCTGGAGCTTGCCTTTGGAGGCTGTGGAGGGAAAAAGTGTCCTGTGAATTGTCTCTGTGGCTCCTGCTTGAAGGCAGGGCTGGCTGAGTGGATTCCCAAGGCCCTTTCCTCCCGAATATTCTTAAATTATCTTGCCCTTCTGCCCTGAGCACCCCTGGCTTGTGTCCCCGAATGGCCACAAGCTCTGGGAGGTTGCCCAGGGATGGCACATTCTCCATCAACACCATGAAACATACCTCCCTTGCTCGTCGCCCTCAAAATAGACCTCTCTGGGATCTGTCCCAAGTGGACTTTGGACGCCAGCCTGGCTCTCGACAGGCAGCCTGGTCCTTGGGCCCCAGCCTGCTCACGGGTTTCTGGCCCTGATCTCATATGGGCCCCGTTCCTGACGAGGGAGGCAGCTCAGTTCTGGGGAAGCATCAGGTGGGTCAGGGCCGCTGGGGTCTCGGGGAGGTGAGCAGGGCCAGTCCTGCCTGTTCCCCATCCAGGGACTAGCCGGCCTGGGGAGGGCCACCGTCATCTCCAGGACGCACAGCGTGGGTGTCTCCGGGGGCACCTCCCCCCTCCTCCTTGGCCTCACTCAGTGGTTCACGCCCTGTGAGGGGGCCTGGAGCGAGCTCCACCTGGTGAGAGGGAGGTGTGGGGATCCCCCCACAAAATCCTCATTTCCTTTCCCAAGAACTCTGCAGGTAAAACTGACTTTTCTAAGTGTAGAATTAGGGGTAAGTGGTCCCCCCCACAGAGAAGCTGGACCCCGTCCCTGTATGATGGCCTCTGTGGAAATGGCTGCAGTTTCATGGCCAGTTTGTGCCATCGCATGACCCACACCTTCTGAGCCTGCCTGCACCCTGGCTGCCCTTTGCTCTCGAGCTTGGGCTGTGGGAGGGAGGCAGGGCTTCTGAGTCAGCCCCCAGTTCTGCAAGGCCGCCCAAGAGTCAGCCTGCAGATGGGGTGGGCGTCAGGGGCTGCCTGGGTGTATGTCCTGTTGGGAGGATGTCTTCCCTGTGCCGTCCTTCGTGGCTCAGCACCTGGCTCTGACGTGTGGACCACACAGAGGCCTCAAAGCTAAGCCAAGTCGAGCAGGAGTCAGGACTGAGACGAGGAACGTCATGACTGCCCCTTGATGGAGGGGATTGGAGTCTGGAATCAGCAGCTGCCTCCACAGGCTTTGTGGGGGGCGCTGCACTGGGCATCCTTCAAGCTCCAGCCTCACGGCCTCTGGAGCCATCCTTTTGCCATGGTGGTTGCTATGGAAATCAGCCATGTACAGGTGCGGCCCACAGTACCTTGCGTCATCTTCGCCTGGCTCTCTGCCACCCCCACCTGGGATGCCGCAGGGCCCCGCCGAGCCACGGCACCCCTGGGAGTGTGTGGGAGCCAACACTCATGGGCAACCCTTGACCACTAGGGACAAGAGCTGGAGGCTGCAAACCTTTCCTGTGCTCTGGAGGGACAACCTGAGGCTCCTTGTGTGGCCTGCCTCCATGGGTCCCCGCAGGATAGAGACCTCAATTGCCCATGGCGGTAACCCCCTTAGCAAGGCGCCCTCCTTCCTGGGTCCGCTCTGCCCGGGCCCACTCCATCCCCTGGAATCCCATCCCCAAATAACCCTCCTGCATAGAGTCCTCGTCTCGTCAGCTTCTGGGGGAAGAAAAGCTGAGCCAGCTGCTGATCTGTTTCAAATAACATTATCTGGTGGAATACTTGCTGCATTGCGTTACGTAGAAATTGTTCTTAGAAAAAGCTTAATAGGAGATTGAATTTTAAAGGGTAAAAATAAATTCTGTGAGTGGGTTCCCAAAGGTCAGCTGGGCTCCAGAGAAATCGAAGCCAGAAACGTGTCTTGGAGACTATTTCTTGGAAACGCTGTGATTTGACTTGGACGTCCTGTCGGAACGAATCGAAGGGCGTTGGAAGGACGTTTGTGAGGGACCCACCCTCCTAATTCCCAGGAGAGACGGCTGGGAGGTCTTCTCGAAACCTTAAGGGTTATAAACACCAAAAAAGCTCCCTGAGGCATGAATGACGATGCCTCAGACCGGGGTTCAAGTCTGCAGAAACTTGAACGATGAGCGCGTGCAGCCAAGCTGCGCACGTTGCTGGCTGTCGCTCGGGCCGAGGTGGTGCCCCGGCTCCCGGCAGATTTTGTGCTCTAGACTCGGGAAAGTTAAGGCAGGCAACAACGTGGGTATAAAAATGTTCAAAACCAACTTTTATTCTGTGGTTGTTACATGGGATAGAGTGGCCGTGGAGTGCATGCGCCACAGGAGTGGAGGGCCAGTCTCCAGGCGGGCTGGGCAGCGGGCACCACGGCCGCCTGCATGGCCGGCTGTCGAGGGGCCTGGCAGACGCAGGGGTCAAAGGGCTCTGCCGCCAGGGAGCTGTGCCAAACCCAATGGCCTGTGAGGACGTGGCGGAGGGACGGGCTGGAGTGTGACCGTCGGTGTTGTGAAATGAAAGGCACGGTCTGGCCGCCTGTGGGCGTGGGGACAGCCCACACCCACAGGCCGGGAGGAAACAGTGCTGTCATCACGTCGGCCTAGAGAGCAGGGCCGGCCCCCGGGAGACCCTCAGCACGGCTTCCTCCGTCTCTACCCCCCTGTTAAGTGGGTTAACTAAGGGGTGGTCTGTGGCCCCAGGAAGCGCAGTGCCTGCTCGGGGACAGGTGAGAGGTCAGCTACAGCTAGCGCGGAGCGGGGGCTACGGTGACGGGTGCTGGGGTGGGAACGGGCTCCTATACGAGGGGGAGTGTCACTGTCACAGGCGCCCGCTCTGCAGGGGGTGTGGCCGGCGCCTGTGGACGACCCGGGCTACTGGGTCTAACTGCTGGTGCTGGATTCCTTTGGTGACTTTGGTTTGCTTTTTAAAGGAAAGAGTGAAATGGATCTTGGGTCGGCAGCTGAGGTAATAGGTTAAGAACGAGCACCAAGGTGGCCGCGCCGCGGTGGCCGCAAGCGGGCTCACAGGTTCTTCATGCACACCTGGCAGCGGCTGATGTGTGTGCGGATGAGGCCCGCCTTGAGTGTGTCGGCGGAGGGCGCGCCCTGGAAGCTCTGCTCGGGGATGGTGGTGAGCCAGAAGCTGTACTTGTTGGCGTAGTAGTGGCAGGTCCCACGGCCCCCGTTGCACTCGATGAAGGGCGTGGCGCGGAAGTCCTCCAGACAGCTGCCCGGTGACACCAGCGACTGGCCGCCACCCTCGTCGCCCGCGGCCGTGTGCTGCGTAGAGGGGAGATGGGACGGGGCAGGGCTGTGAGCGGCTTGTCACTGAGGACTTCCTCCAACTGAACCACAAACCGTGAATATCCCTCTGTGTCGACAGAGACCACCGGTGACATCCCCTTCAACGCCAGGGGTGGGCCGAGGACACGGGGGAGCCGTGCAGAGGGCGCGGCCGTGGGTGAATGTTCGCCAACATGGACAGATGATCACGGTTTGTGGTTAAGTGACAACCCGAACAGCAACAAAGCAGGTCAGAGTCAGAAGCTACAGTGGACTACAATTTAGGGAGAAAAGTACCATCTACCCCGTCATCCATTCAAAGAATGAAGTGTCTGCCTGGCAGAAGAGATACCAAAATATTGACTTTCTTTTAAAGGAAAAAGAAAATCAATACGTGGGTCGGCATCTGAGGTTGAGTTAAAAAGAATCAGCAGAGAAAGAGACCGGCCGAGCCCCGCTCTGCTGACGATCACACGAGGAAGGGAGCACGGGCCGATTTCCTGATCTCCTCTCGTTAGAAAATCTCTACTTGCTGATTTTTCTACAATCCACATGGACTGCTCGTGTGATTAATTCAATCAGAGGGCTGCTAAT